CAAGTAGCATTTGAGAAGAACTGTGCTCATAGACTTTGAGAGCCAAAGCATTCGCTTTAGTGCAATGGTTTTAAGTGAATATGCTGCTTCCTGTCTATTAGGTTGTACAGTGAATTATACTATATGTAGTTCATCTTATGCAGATTGCCTGAATTTATTTTTATAAATTAATCCCCAGATTTGATAGGTGTAAAAGGATATGCAGTTGATAGCTGCTTGGTCAGAAAAATATTCAAATAAAGTTAGGTACTTCTCTAAACTCTGCAAATGTGAGAGTTTACTTCCACACCTTCAAGCACAGAAACATGAACTAATATCATATTTTATTTCTTTTAATACCTTATGAAGACAAGATGGCAAGTTCGTTATTTGAATTATTTTGATCAAAGTATGCTTTTTATACTATATTGCTGAAGTCTTAACAGACATCAGAAAGCGTAGGTAATGTCCTACAGAGTTAACTTTTTTTCTTTTGTAAAAATAAAGAATTAATAGCCAGAACAGGTAAAAGCAAAATAAAGATATCCCAGAAAACTCAATTTTCAGCCTTGAAAGATGTGAGCTATGGTTGCTTGTTCTACTCCTCTCATTGCTTATAGACTTGGCTTTCTTTAAAAAAAATTCATGGTATTCAGGGTGCTCCATGGCATTATTGCTCAACAGCCATTTCTTTTTTTTTCCCCCACAGTATTCAAGACTTTCCATGTATACAAAGGTACCTGTGAAACCTGACAATGGTAATTTTGTGCTTTTTATTTTAAAACTGTATCTACATGAGATAATATCTGGACATGCAGTTCCTCTATTGCCTAGTATTGTCTAGTGTCCTTGAATGTCCTTGTAAAGGCAAGTCAGAAGTATGGCTATCCCCTATGTAACACTAGGCACAAGGCATATGGTCTAGGCGGGAGGTGTGACTTGGCTTTAACACATTAAGAAATGCAATGGTTTTCTTCCTTTAGTTCAAAGCAGGTTAGAGCTATAAGGGATTACATGATTTCTCTGTAAATGAATGTAGGAAGTGCCCTCATCGTTTTGTCAGGAAACTCTAAAGTCTTATTCTCTTCTCCATTAAATACCTTGTCCGTAAAATATATTAAGAGATAATATGAGTAATTCCTTCCCCCTTCTTCAAACCATAAAATGGATTTTGGAGATCTACAGCTTCTTTTGAGAAAATTTCATTCGTAAGTAAATCTATAATCTATTTATAAGGAACCATTAAGGCATATGGCACTGAAATGGCCATTTTCTGATCTTTACTGATGTCTGGCATATATTAAATTTTTGATACATCTGTATCTTTTTTTTCCTCCCATCCCCCTAATACTTTGGATTCTCTCGCTGGAGTTGTCAGGATTGCTTTTGCCTTTATAAGGCAATGCAAGTAGTTCTCAATTGATTTGTTCCGCAGAGATTTCTGCACTATTTCAAGACAAAAGGAGTCTGTCCTAATTTTCTTTCTGCTTGGAAAGAAAATAGAGCAGTAGTGCAGCACATTTCTGCTCTGAGTTTATGTTATCACCTTTCAGACACTCTTGAAAAATACAATTTTTTAAATTCCCTTGAAGCAATGTATTTCTAAAATTGGTCTATTATTTTCCATTGCACTTTCTCAAACCCAACCAAATTTTATAGCCTTTTCACTCATAGATTAAACAGCATCACAAAGCCTGATTATCAGAGAGGTACCTGCTATTAAAATGACCTGTGATAGTCCTTAGCACTTGCTGTTCTCTGGGTAGTTTACCTCTATTCTCTCGTACATATTTTTGTATTTACTGGACAGTACCTCATTTACTTTTCACCTTGTATTTAGTTAAATTTAGTTAAATTAGTTTAGTTAAATGTTAAATGCCTCTGGAATAAAGGATTGGAAATAGCAGAGCTAGCCCTTTGCCTCTCTAGTACTACTCATTAAACAGTGATAGTAACTGTTTTAAAATTACTTTTATGTTTGTCAAGTTCACATTAAATCATCTTTAAAATGTGTACATATGTAATGTGCTTTGAAATTGCCTATTCATAAACAATGCATCATCTATATTCAAAGTGAGCAGTTCATAAAAGTTTTAGTGGAGAGGTAATGCGCTCTTGTAGATTTAAAATTATATTAAAAATTCACCTTCTCTCAGGAGTTAGATTAACTGAATATTTGATAAAGACTCCCCAGGCTGATACAACAGCCCTGGTTCCTCTTCAGTATCTGTTCAGAGACAGTGCAAGCAGGGAATCCAGCTTCTACAAGCAAGACTGTTAACTATTAATATGTTAAAGTTTTATGTGTACGTGAAAACACAGATGGGGAAGGGGTTATGAGTGAAGACCCTGAAATGCCTGATATGGTTCATTGCTTCAGGAGGATCCTTAAGGAGGTGGGATATGGGGACAATTTCCCTCTCACTTGCTCTCTCTTCTTGCTCTTGCTCTTTCATTCTTCCTCTTGTGCTCTCTTGCATTTGCTTGCACGTGCTTGCTCGCTTTTTTGAGAGAATGAGAACAAGGAGAGCCCCTAATGAGAACTTGACAGTTTGAATCACCTTATCATCAAATCCATAATTGAAAATACAGAAAAAAACTCCTGATCCCTTGAGCCACCAATCAGGCAAATCACTGGGAGTGCAATATGGATGTAACACTGTTATTATGCTGGTCTTAAACTTGTACAATGTCTTGTTGAATATTAACATCATTGATGTTCTAGTGTTCTCAGTAGGTGGAGAAAAGGAGCAATATTTGTACCCTACTGAGTAATTTTGCTGACTATATCTCCTATTGACCCACCATTGCAAATATATGTAGGATGGAACTCTCACTGCTTGGCCACAGAAAAAAAGTAGTAGGCCAATGTTTCTAAAAGCCTCATCCTTTTATATGCTCATTTTGCCTGTAGAGAAGCTAGTTTGCAAATGTTCATTTTTCTGTACAGCTGACTGCATACAGCTGAGGTGACCTGCTGATGGGTGCCTGCTCTGTCCTTCTAACACAGCAGACCTGAGCACTTAGGGTCTGTAGGTGCTGAATTTGGTTTGGATCTAATGCTCGAGGAGTCCAAATACAAATAGCTCTCAACAGTTTCCTCTGAGCCCCAAGTGTCTTCCTTTCCTGACAAGCTCTTCTAGCTGGAAACCTTCCATGCTGCCTCTCCTGACTCTCTGCTTAAAAGTTCCAAGGCACAGTATGCTTGTGAATTCCCATCAAACTCTCAGGATAACATGTCTGAAGATTAAACTGAATCGTTAGAACATGCCCATCATGAAGTGTCAAAATCAACCTGCCTGAAGAAGCTGTTTCATCAGTCAGAGCGTATAAACTGCCTTTCACAGGTATATTTTCTCATCAGCATCAAAATCAGCTGTGGGAGATGAGTTTCCCAACCCCCTCCTTGGAGTAGGAATATAATTAGCTGGAAGGCAAGAGAACAGCAATTACTGACAGTGGCCCTGTGTAAGCATCAGGGGAAGAGGAAAAGCAGCAGGGCACCTTATGAATGATAAAAATACACATAGGCTTCTAGGGACCACAGAACTAAGATGTCATGTGGCATAACGTGTTAGTCTGAGTGTTACTAGAAGCTTCAGTGTCATGAGACAGACAATTCCTCGATCTACCTGCCGATCAGCAATGTGCATTTTTTTTTTTTAAGAAAAATCCTGACATATCTTTCAGATGTTATTTTTGTAGCACGTGATTTTTATGCCACTGTGTACACCTGTGGTCTAAATGTTTGTTTACAAGCATTAGGTATCAGTTAAAAAATAGGTAAAATTTATCTCCGAGTTGGTTGATATCCCCGAGTTGCTCCCTGAGAAAAGAGATGTTACTTATTCACGTCCTGGTAACTCTTGCAAAGCTATAGTACAGCCAGGTGGTTAATTTACTTTTCAATTTAGTAAAGACTGAGATGAGCTGGGTAAGGCCAAGTTTTTCCTCACAACTTCTCATCTTAGAGAAAGAAGATCCTGTTTTCACTTGTTTAGTTGTTGTCTGCTTTAATCAAGGGAGGAAAAAAAGACTGTTTTCAGGATCTGAGAGTTAGTAAGAAGGGATGGAAAATGAGAATGTTGTATTTTGTGTCAGCTGTTGATTACCACCATGTGTATAGGTTTGGGGTTTTTTTTCTTACAATTTTTTTTTCCCCCTCAAATGAAGAGGCTTTTAATTAAAGGGATATAGATTTGTCTAGTTTCCTTCTGTAACTTCACATTTGGGCTGCTGTGTCCAAGCGCAGGCACACAGATTGGGTGCTTTTAATTAACTTATTTGATGGCTGGCTTGAGACTGCCTCTGAGATCACAATTAGAGCTCCAGGTTCCTCAACCACAGAAGGATTTAAGTAGGAACCTCTGACAGCTCAGGTGAATGATTTTGGCTGAGATGATGCTCCTGAGAGAGAAGAGAAGAAACTTTCTCTTCACAGTAGTGTCAGGTGACTCCTCAAGGAGTTTGAGGATCTGGGAATCCTGGTTCATAACGGGTGCTTTCTTACCCCCACAGGATTAGGTGCTTAGCTCCCTAAGAAAGGTAGAGATTAAACAGTTGCCTCCTCATTAGCAGCTGCCATTAGGCAGGCTGCTGCTTAGCTGCCAGGTTATGTGAGATCTCATTCAGAGTGGCTTCAGTTCCCCTTTTGTTCTCAAAACAAAAATTCCCAGCCCTCTGCATCCTGTACATTTAAGTATTTTTCCAAAAGTCTTCCTTGGCTTTTTAGTGATTGTAATTTTTCTTGTGTTCATGCACTTTTATGCTTTGAAGTTCAAAGAAAATTTTGAGGGTTTCTTAGGGGGACACAGGGTCTACTGTGGGATGAACAGTGCATCTATGTTGTCCTTAAAAACAGGATAGGCTATTTGCACATCAGGCTACTCCCAGTTGGGGTTTGGGAGTGAATAACTGGAGCGCGAGATATCCGCGGCCTCCTTGGAGCCGCGCGGCGGTGACTCTGCAGCTGCCGCTGCCACCGCGCTGCGCCCGAGGGCCTTTCCAGTGAGCTGGCCACGATGATCCTGGGGGCCGAGTGCCCCTGCAACCTTGAGGCTTGCCCGGCCTCGTCTCCCCGGCGTAGCCTGCGCCGCGGACTGGCCCGGGCGGGCATCTCTCGAAGCGCAGTGCTCCCAATCCAGCCCCCGGCCTGCATAGCGCTGCTGGCCACTGCGCAGCCCTTCAGCCTTCTCTGTAAGGTAGGAAACATGGTTAAAATAAATATTTTTTTCTTTTTAAGAAAGGTGTTGTACTTTTATTCAGTCATTAAATATTAAGGATGTTGGAGAAATAATACATTCAAGGTGATAGCTATTACAGAGAACACAATCATCTTTTAATTTAACTGTCAAGCTAATAATATTTAAAAGTTACTATGTAGGAACATGAGTGTTTTTTCCTGATGCTTTTAAAGTATTATTTAAAGTTATTATGGCTGTATTCCTTTGCCTTTCTTAGAAGCGTTTGGTATGCTCTACAAAACAGGTGTTACAAAAGACTTGGCTTTGTTTTTACTTTCAGTTTTATAGGCTATATGAGATGTAGTGTTTGATTCCCCTGAAACTTGATCCAGGAGGGGAAAACTTTTGCTATTGTTTGTTTTGTTAAATAAAACAGCTTCATTTCTTTTGCTTGTTTTGAGAACTGTAGATTTCTATAATACTTGATTCCTCACTGTATCTTGCAAGGATAAAACATCTTTTCTTCCATTTCTGTTTACAGTTGTCTGCCTAGCATAGGAGGGCCACCCTTTCAATGAGGATCTATGGTCTTTAGTAGAATTACTTAGGGTGTTAACTGCAATTATGAATATAGAATTAGTAGCCCTACTGCATTCATCAACTTAAATGATGTCAACTTAAATAGCATGCTATTTATTTCTGTCCCTTGCATGAGAAATACTATTTCTAAAACTAGTTAGGCCAGTTCTAGTCACTTCATTGACAGATTATGAACTTGCAGCACAGCTAACCTAACTTGGTATAGAGATTGTGTTCTAGTTGCAATAATGTTGCTTTTTAAATTATTTTTTTAGTTTATTTTGCAGTACTCATACAATTTTAGTTTTGTCACAGCCTTTTCGAAGAATATTGCTTAGCAAAAGAGTATATTTCAGTAGAACATCAACTTGTCGCTATTGAGGAGTGGGTAATACCCCAGAGGGCTGCGCTGCTATCTAGAGGGACCTGGGCAGACTGGACAACTGGGCAGTGAGAAACCTCATGAAATTCAACAAGGCCAAGTGCAAGGT